AAGTCCATTCTACTCTTTAAGTTCTCTAATTGCCTCTTCTCGTTCCTTACCACCACTAATCTACCCAGCAAATCATCCTACTCTTTCATTGTTAATTCAAGGATTACCTCTTTCCAAACAGGTGAAAATAAATTGACTATTTCTGAGTCCAGTATTAGCAACCGGCTTGTCACATTGGAGTCCTGGGCTGATGATCCTGATTATCTGAAACGTCAAGTTGGTTTCTGTGCCCAGTGGAGCTTAGACAATCTCTGTAAGTGGGAGTTGTCCTTTATTGAAATGTTTGTTTCCATTTCCAAACACATTTCTTTATAAGCTCATTGATCTTCCTTTTGTAATGGTGAGTGTGGGTCCTTATAAGGTCCCCACTGGTAGGTTGGATGTACTCTAGCAAAAAAGTATCCTAGAGACCTTTCAGACAAGACTTATGTGGAATTCTTAGAACACTTATAATTCCAGTATTCTCCTGTTCAAAAACCTTTACTGGCACCCTATTTCCTGCTGCATCAAGGCCCTTCATTATATGGTACTATCTAACCAGCTCTTGCCTACACAAACTCTCTCTCACTGTCCTATAAACAGGTCCTGATGATTCCTACCTCTGGACATATTTCCCTCACTTGGAATTCCCTTTCTTTTATCCTCTCCCTATCCCAACTTTGCTCTTCAAAACCCAAATCATGTCTTACCTACACCATGAAAGTTCCTGACTTTTTCTTTTTCTCCTCCAAGGGCTGCTGGTACAAAAACTACTACAGGTTGATCCTTTATCCAAAATGCTTAGGACTAGAAATGTTTTGGATTTTGAATTTTTTCAGATTTTGGAATATTTGCAATTATCAGGTTGAACATTTCTTTCGAGCATCATGTCAGCACTCAAAAAGTATCGGATTTTGGAGCATTTGGATTTCAGATTTCAGATTGTGGGTGCTCAACCTATACTATTAATACTGTATCCTCAGCCCCCCCTCCATCGTTAGGAATTGTGTTAAAACACAGTTGGACATGTAACCCCCAACTCCTACCCCAATAATGTGGGGAGGAGCTTAGTACAGTCAGTGAAGTGCCAGTTAAAAATAATTCTGAAAGAGTGCAATTTGGATTATGTTTCATGCAAAACAATAGCTATAAGGAATGGAAGCATAAACCTAGCAGTGCTGCCTTTCCTAGCATGTGCTTGATTAGTCTTCATATGGTAGCACAGCAACAAAGCTAAGAATATAAGTCCTCCCACCTATTCTGCCATTCATAAGCACCTCCACTCCTTGGCTAGATGGCAGCCAGAGATTGTACTAGCTTTTTGTTGTTGTTGTTGTTCTATAGCAGCCTGCCTTAGAAACATGACCACTTTGTCTTTTGCAGTTTTAAAAGAAGGTAGACAGCTGACCTATGAGAAAGTGGACTTGAGTAGTATTACGGCCATGCTGAATAGCAACGATGTCAGCGAGTACCTAAAGATCTCACCTCATGGCTTGGAGGTAAAGCTTCCACAGATGGACCCTGGGGGCAGGGGGCAGGAATCGTTTTGCTCTCATTTTCACATCCTACTTCTGAACAAAAGCGATGTCTTACCAGAATAGGTGGAAGTTTATTTCGTACTTGAAGAATGGTTAGAGGTAGAAGTGGTGGGAGAGAGGGTGTTTGAGGCCATTATCTACTCTTCTGTATCCCACATGGTACTACACCTATTGTGAGCATTATACTGTTTTTACTGACTGGTTTAAGTAAATCTATTTTTAATCTCTGCCATTTTATTCAGCTAAAGATACAAAGACCAGTGTTTCAAAAGAAGCCCTTCCTTTTTTTAATCCTTTCATAACCAATTGTTGTAGGTCTGGTGCTTCCCTTTCTCCCTGTGTGTTAGAAATGTTGCTGATTTTATGGGGAAGGTTGATGAAAGAGTTGCTTATGTACAGGAAGGTACCATAAGGCACTAGACATGTCAGGATTAAAGAACTGTTTCAAGAAGGGCTACAAACAGTTCTCTGATCCTGTGTGTTGCCAAATGCCTTATATAGTTTTCCGCTTTAGATTGTATTTCAGTACCTTGTCTTATGTCTTCCTCTTCCCCATCAGCTTAAAGCAATGTTTGTACATTTCTAAAAGGTTCTAATATGAAAGCAAAGGACTGTAAGTACTTAAAAATGAAGCCAGTGGCCTTGAGTAATTGTTACTACAGCCATCTTTGAGGTCTTCTAAGCTTAGCACCAACCCTGTTAGAACTCTGTGGAAATAAGACTATAAAATAGTCCTGGAATGTACTTCATTTAGTTTAATACTTTTTGTCACAGAAGATGGACCAAGGAGGAAACAATAGTCCACCGAAAGCTTTAATAAGGAAGAATACACTCAACCTTCCCAGTGGTCAGTTATCTTTCGTGGTCTTTGGGCACTGATGGTGTATTGTCATGCTCTTTGGTTTTGCCAGGCTCGCTGTGACGCCTCCTCTTTTGAAAGCGTGCGTTGCACCTTTTGTGTGGATGCAGGGGTGTGGTACTATGAAGTAACAGTGGTCACGTCTGGTGTCATGCAGATTGGCTGGGCCACTCGAGACAGCAAATTTCTCAATCACGTGAGTACCCTGAAGAACTGTGCAAATAGGGGCAGCTGCAGTTTTTTTTTGTTTTTTTTTTACCCCTGATGGATGGGTGGAAGATACTTGCGTATGATTATTTTTCAAATAGATTGGCTCAATAATCTTTTCTTGGGCTGAACCACATGGTGCCAGATCCCTAACAGTGGTTTGCTAAACTGATTGAGAAATAGGAAAACACAAGTGAAATTACCTCTCAGCCTTTTTTTTTTTTCCTTGAGTTTTAAGTTCACATTAATTTTCCACCTAGAGGTTAGAAGGGTGCTTTGTCTTTGCCGGCTCTGCTCCAGCCCCCAGCCACGGTTTTGGCTCGGTCCTTATATTCAAACTAGTCCTGATTATTACCTTGAGTTTAAGTTTTAAGAACTTCGTAGGAATTCTCTTCCTTTCAAAAAGTACTAAATGTTGGCTTAACTTCTCTCACTTGATTTTTACTTTGTAATTAGTTGGCATGTTTGTTTTCAATATTTAATATTTAGGCTGGACAATGGTGGCTCACGCCTATAATCCTAGCACTTTGGGAGGCTGACATGGGAGGATTGCTTGAGACCAGGAATTTGAGACCAGCCTGAGCAAAAGCGAGACCCCGTCTCTACTAAAAATAGAAAAAGTAGCTGAGTGTGGTGGTGCACACCTATAGTCCCAGCTACTCAGGAGACTGAGGCAGGAGGATTGCTTGA